GTAAGATGGTAGTGAAGGGTAGTTGAATTTTTTTTTTTTTTTTTTTTTATTACAGGGAAGGTATCGCCTCTTTTGGCCGCGATCTGTGTCATGCGAGAGTCACCTTTTTTCCTTTTGTTTTTTAGGATTGACAGCCTCGAAATTGGGAAAGGGACAGGTCGTTTTCGTCTGTGGCATTTCTGATAGAAGGGGACTATGCAGGAAATTAAGAATGTCATCTACGTCCGTTTTAGGCAAATTCAGTTATCTATATTGATCTCCCAGTGCATGTATTTGCAATATACACACAAAATATTTATAGATTGGTAGTAGCACCTTAATTTGTTCAGGTGTGTTATATTATGACCCGAGGCATTAAGTTTAAGACTAACATTTTTGGAACGTTGGTGTAGTTTCAGTTTACTAAAGCTGTATAGTAGGCCTACAAGGTAAATTTTGTCTAATGGACAGAATGACTGAAATAAGACACGTTTCATCTATGGTATTTCATCTATGGTATCATCTATGGCATCCTGGGGTGGAGCCCATGATAGGGAATATACAGCGATCAGATGAGGGTTTGGGGGCGATGGGTTTTGGTTCATGTGGCGATGTTTGCAGATTTCCCAGGAGTGGCTGGAGTGATAGGGGCTTGCCATCAGAAGGGTGCAGTCACTTTGTAAACAATTACCAGTGCTCATTTTTACCATTTGTAATGGAAAATACCAAGAGATTATTGAATATTACAGCATTGATAATTGAAAGAAGAAAGGGTTATTAGTATTTAGATTATAAAGTATTAAGTCTAAAGTGACATTTTTGTTTCTTTTTTTCTTTTTTCTTTTTTTTATACCTTCTCCATTTAATGATACATAATTTCTTGATGTCATGATGATTTTAGTTATGCCTTTCTTAGTATGTTATCAGAATGGTTAGTATTTCAGACATTCAGACACTATATAATTTGGAATTACGTTATGAAAAAATAAATGTTGCAAGTTACTGCACAGTGCTCTTAACTATCATGTTATAAACTTTCCTGTCTATCAATTGTCAAATAAGAAACCAGCTCAAGGTCTATCCTGTTTGGTCATACATGGTCATTGCCACCAAAGGCATGTAGGCTATGACAGTTGTTTGACCATATCTGTTGTCTGGTACTGCATTTATGTGTTGAATATTTGTTGTTTTTGACTTGCCATGGGAATTCCTGAGATAAAAAGTGTTATGGAATTCATCAATCAATTCTATGTACTGTTTCCCAAGAAAATCATACAGCTCACACCAATATCTGACAAATTAGACAAACTTTGCTTTATTATACACTGGCATATTCCTTTTATTGTGAATAGGTTGTTGCAGAATTTTAAAGTATGTAAAGCTAACTTCTAGAATGGATTCCAGCCATGTGGCAAATCAGTATTGAAACTATGCACACAGAAATTTTTTGAAGTGGACTGCACACTTGATAGCATTAGTTGCAGCTGAGAAATTAGGTAAGCAGAAAGATAGATGTACCAGTGTACTAGGGTATGACAAATTGAAGGTGATGTTCTTGTGGAGGATAGAAATTTGTAGTCATCTGTACAAGAAGTAATTTGCAGACATAAACCATAATGCCACAAATAAAGGAAAAAATTTGTGGAAAGTTCTGCTCACAGCCTTTTGAGTACTGAGGTGAAGACAGTGTTACCTGGGGGAGTTGGCATTAACCTGGAAAGTACACCTAATCATGGCTATCTAGATTGTTGAATAAATTTTGTGACATGGAGCTGTGAACTGGCAAGTGTGTCCATTCACTAAAGAATTACCATTGTCTTGTAACACACTGTAAGATTTATCCTACATGTCTGCAACACACCAGCTGTTTATTCCATTAATATATGAATGTATTATACGTGTCTTCAATTATTGTATGCCATTCAAAATGTAGAAATCACCTACAATTAATCTTGAAGAAAATTTAGTAAGCTTTAGATTGAAAACTTTGGCTTAGGTTAACTTTCTATGTATTCCCAATGTTTCAGTTTGAAAAAAGGCATTTATTTCAAAGGCAAGAAATACATATCTACAAAATATTATATGACACATTGCAAGGATATTATTGGTGCAACACACATGTAGGAGTTAGATCTCTTGACAGTACTCTTGTAGTTTTAGGTTTGTTGAGAAGAAAAATACTTGACAGAGAAATAAAATCTGTACTTATACAGATGTAATTTAGATGAAGTGAACTCAGTAGGCATCATTTTGTACCAACATACCACTGGAGGCTTAGGTATGTTAAAATATCACTTTTTTTTTTTTTTGTGTGTGTGTGTGTGTGTGTGTGTGTGTGTGTGTGTGTGTGTGTGTGTGTGTGTGTGTGTGTGTGTGTGTGTGTGTGTGTGTGTATGTGTATGCGTGCGTGTGCGTGTGTGTGCATGTGCATTTGTATACGTGCATGTGTGTGTTGTGAGTATATTTGTGTTTGTGTATGCATATGCATATTTGAGATCTCATGTAGATTAAGAGGAGTCTTCAGTTTATGTTAATGTGTCCTGTTTTGTGTAATCATATATTATTTACCAAATATCAAGGGGTGAACTATACTAAGTTGCCACCTAAGGTGTACTATAGGGACTTTTTTATTATGCAAGTCTATGAACTGTGACTTATCTTAGGAATTAGTTATGTCATAAATAGAAGTATTCCATCTCAACACATTAATAGACCATTAATAGTTTGATTGTCTCTTTTTTTATTAGATATGAAACCAGTTTTATCAACTTGTTAAATTCTTAAATCAGTAAAAATTAGATCAAACAGATAGAAATGGTAGATGGCTGTTAAAAATAATGGGTTAAATTTTTCAGATGCCTCTTTAAAAATAGAAAATTTTAATTCTGTTGCTGTAAAATATTTTGCTATCAAAGTGAATGGTTATTTTCATGCTTAGCCTGTATAATTCCACAAAGGATGGATTATGAGACATTTCAATTATATAATATTATTCAGGAATATATTTCAAATGGAGGCTTTATGATTAAAACTTCAAACAATTCATTTTGCTTTGTGGAAATATTAATGCTCATTCACCTCTTTCAACAGTATTTGATCAGATAGAATATATTTATTTCATTTTCAGTAATTAAATAAAAGTCTTTCGAAAGTGTGTATGTGTTGCTACTGTTTACCCTGTTAAAAATTATAGAAATGATTTTATGCCACAGCCATTCTCATATATGCTTATAGTCTGTGCTAATGGGTTTGAATTCTTTGTTTTGGAAGCTGAATATTATAGATTTGGTTTTGAAATATCATGGTGATATATGCTACAAAAAACAATAAGGTTGATTTAAATGCTAAAGCTAAGGTGTATTGCGATTTTTCTTTGTGTACAAGTTGTTGTGCCTTTGTATTTGGTCTTGCCTTGAAGGGACTTGTTCCTAGAAGACTGATTTGGAGGAAGAGAAGGAGAGGGAGAAAGAGAAGGAGAGAGAGAAAGAAAGAAAGAGGAGAGAGAGAAAGAAAGAAAGAGGAGAGAGAGAAAGAAAGAAAGAGGAGAGAGAGAAAGAAAGAAAGAGGAGAGAGAGAAAAAGGGAAAGAGGGGAGAGAGAAAAAGGGAAAGAGGAGAGAGAGAAAGAGGAGAGAGAGAGAAAGAGGAGAGAGAGAGAAAGAGAAAGAGGAGAGAGAGAAAGAGAGAAGGAGGAGAGAGAGGAAGAGAAGAGAGAGAAAGAGGAGAGAGAGAATAAGAGAAAGAGGAGAGAGAACAAGAGAAAGAGGAGAGAGAGAATAAGAGAATTTGAGGGAGAGAGAGAGAGAGAGGGAGGAGAGGAGAGGAAAGAGAGAGAGAGAACAAAAAGTAACAGTAATTCTTCCACTTGTATATTAGAGTCAAAAGGACTGCCATCATCAACAAGTGCAGTTCCCCTCATAAGCTCCTCCTTAGCCTGCGATGAGCAAAACAGTATCAGAGATCCCGCACTGAACAGTTGCTTTTACATGAATACATAAAAAGGCCACATGCAAACTGTCAGCACAAAACTCTCATTGTGTTTTTCCCCGTGGTAAAAACTGTACTGTCTATTCTTGGGCTCCCTCCTCCTCACCTCCTCCCCTCTGTCTCTCTGATTTCCCTCCCCTTGAACCCCCTCCCTATCTCCCTTCCCCTCCCCCTCCCCATCTCTTTGCTTTCCCTCCCCTTCTGCCCCCTCCCCACCCTCCCCCTCCCCCTCCCCACCTCTCTGCTTTCCCTCCCCTCCCCATCTCCCTCCTGCTCTTTCTCCCCACGTCTTTGCCTTCCCTCCCCTTCCACCACCTCCCCACCCTCCCCTCCCCCTCCCCACCTCTCCTTCCACCCCCTCCCCAGCTTCCCACTCCCCCCTCCCCACCTCTCTGTCTTCCCTCCCCCTCCACCCCCTGTCCATCCTCCTGTTTCTTGCATGAGTTCAATAGCATAATTACATTCTCTAAGCCTGACCTCACCCTGTCTTCACTACTGCTACAAGGCTCACCCAGTTAGCACCAAGTCACTACCCCCTCCTCTCTCTCTCTCTGCCTCTTCTTCGTTTTCTTCTTCTTTTTCTTTTACTTTCACTTTTTTCTTCCATTTCTTTTTTTTTCTTCCCCCTCTTTCCTCTTCTTCTGTTATTCATTATCTTTTTTCTTTCTTTCTCTTCTCCTCCTCCTCCTTTTCCTTCTCCTCCTCCTTTTCCTTCTCCTCCTCCTCCTTCTCTTCCTCCTCCTCCTCCTCCTCCTCCTCCTCCTCCTCCTCCTCCTCCTCTTCCTTCTCCTTCTCCTCCTTCTTCCTCCTCCTCCCTCCTCCTCTTTCTCCTCCTCTTTCTCCTGCTCCTCCTCTTTCCTCCTCCTCCTCCTCCTCCTCCTCCTCCTCCTCCTCCTCCTCCTCCTCCTCCCTCCCTCCTCCTCCTCCTCCTCCTCCTCCTCCTCCTCCTCCTCCTCCTCCTCCTCCTCCTCCTCCTCCCTCCTCCTCCCCCTCCTCCTCCTCCCCCCCCCTCCTTCCCCTCCTCCACCTCCTATTC